TGCTTTTAAAATCTCTGAGGTCTGTAATTGGAGGTGTTTTTTAACTTTAAGATCAAATAATCACATTTGTGCCAGTCACGACTTTGTTGTGTTGAAGCCTCTTCATCTATAGTCACGAGGCAACCGAGATGCCAGTATATTATTTTGATCTTACCTACGATTCAAGTGACATTGACTTAGGTCCTTGTTGTTTTTGATAATCTTTTGGGTTGACATTTGCGGCATTAAACCCATCTCATCTGTGAATACTCTTCGTGCTAAAATATAGGGAGTCATCCTGTGGTGGTTTCTATAGGTCTTCTGTCACTCCTCGGGTTGGTGCTCGACCATCTCCACCGATCGTAGCATCGCTTTTTGGCGATTGGAGGAAGGAGGTACCACCCTTACTTGTCACCGTTTTGCCCAACGCTTTGGTTCAGTGGGTGGTGTTGGTGGTGGTGGAGGTTGGTTCGTTTCCTGCGCCTCTCAACTCCTCTCCGATTCCCTCTTCATTGCGGGACCCCCTGCAACCTCTTCCATCTCAGGCGATTCGAGCCCCAATCTTCTATCTTCCACTTGCTTTTTTGGATGCTGTGACAGCGTTCCTCTAGCATCAACAATGACTGCAGACAGTGACCACATCTTTCGGCCATCGGGCAGTGTACTGCTACGTGGAGGGCAGCTTTCTTCGATGGTGGCACTGCCTCTGGCAGAAGCAGTCCTCACTGGCACTACTTCTGGCCTTCTTAATCTCTTTTATTGACGAAATAACTGACTCATTTCAGACATCCAATTGCTCCTACCGATTTTGTACTATATATGTGTATACACTGATGGTTTATAAATTTCAAATTTTTGCTGTTCTTTGCATCACTTACCTGACGCTTGCTGTGTTTGTTCCTTTTACAGTCTAATTTTCTCTCCAATTTACTCATCCATAGGGGGAGGACTAGAAAAGGGAGACTGTTCAACCATCAACTTACTTTTCCTCGGTCTTTCTGTCATTGAATATTTTCTTTGTTCTCTTTTAATTAGCAGTGCTTTTAATCACGTCTAAGGGTTCACTTTTTACTCGATTATGCAATTGGTCTAGCGCCGTAATTTATTTGATGCCGCTTAATTTTTAGTGAGTCTTAACCCTTTGTGCTGGGTAGTTGATGTCGTTAGGCTGACTTCCATTTTCACCGACTGTTTGTTCTTTTTTCGATTACTTCATTGACTAAGGTTTACATTTTTCCGCTACTTCGCACGTTCTCCAAATCACAATGCAACTTATATCTTGGAGAATTCCTTGATCCTCAATGCCTTGGTCGGCTAATACTTAGAATGTCTTAATTGTTGCTTCTTCACTGAATCCTAGTCTTACCCACTGCCGCCGCATATTCCATGATGTGGCTTACCTTTTCTCGGCATAAG